GGGGGGGGGAGCCCGAGGCATCACGGGCCGTGCTGGACTGAGCGGGATGGGACGGGGATCGGGACGGGGATGGGGTCACAGACGTGGATGCAGATGGAGACAGGGACAGGGATACGGATGGGGACAGGGATTCAGATGGGGATAGGGACTGGGATGGGGATGTAGATGCGGATGGGGATGGAGTCACAGATGCGGATGCCGATGGAGAAAGGGATGGGGATTCAGATGGGGATGGGGACAGAGGTGGGGATAGGGATTGGGATGGGGATGTAGATGCGGATGCAGATGCGGATGTGGATGGGATCGGGAATGCAGACAGGGATGGGGTCACAGATGCAGATGGAGACAGGAACTGGGGTGGGGATGGGGATGCCGATGGAAACAGGGACAGGGATGGGGATGGGATCACAGATGCGGATGCAGATGGAGACAGGGATAGGGACTGGGATGGGGATGCAGATGGGGATGGGGTCACAGATGCAGATGGAGATGGGGACGGGGATTGGGATGTGGATGAGGATGTAGATGGGATCGGGGATGCAGGTGGGGATGGAGTCACAGATGCAGATGGAGACAGGGATGGGGATGTGGATTCAGATGGGGACAGGGATGGGGATGGGGATGCTGATGGGGATAGGGACGGGGATGCAGACGGGAAGGGGGCTGCAGACAGGGATGGGGCCACAGGAGCAGATGGGCATGGGGACGGGGATGTGGATGCTGATGGAGACAGGGACGGAGATTGGGATTGGGATGTGGATGTGGATGCAGATGAGATCGGGGATGCAGACGGGGATGGAGTCACAGATGCTGATGGAGATGGGGACGGGGATGTGGATGCAGATGGAGACAGGGACGGGGATGGGGACAGGGATTGGGATGGGGATGCGGATGCAGATGGAGACAGGGATGGGGATGGGAAGGGGGCTGCAGACGGGGCCACAGGAGCAGACAGGCACGGGAACGGCGGCAGGGCCGCGGCGCCTCCCGTCCCGCGGCCGGGGCCGGTGCCCACCGGGGCGGTGCCGGGG